AAACCCCCTCAAACAAAATGTATGAAAAATAACCTGATTCTCACTTTGGATATTTACATCCTGAGCTATTGAGCCATAACAAAGTAAAAACCTTGTAGTTGACCTGGATGTGTTAAATTTTGCCCCATTAGCTTGGAGATGATGGTTAATTAATCAGCAGCAAATAATTAGGCTTCTAAACATTGTCTTTGTTGTTCTCAAAGGTCCAGAACACTCAAAACGTCACAGTTGGTCAATTCCTCCACGGCACCTCTCCGGTAAGTGCTCCTCGTTTCGCAAGACTTCCAAATAATGATGTTAAACACAGAAAAAGAAGAAAGTGTTAGATTTACATGGGCCACAACAAACTGTTAAGCTTCCTTGATAAAATGTGTCATCAGCTTATGTCTGTGTGTAGAAGGTTTGGAGGGAAAGTGGCCAATTCTAGCTGCACCTCTATCCTCTTGGACTCTGACTGTGAAGAAGAGCAGCCTAACCGAAAGGTGAGCGCGAGCCGCAAGCGACGCCTCAGCAGCTGTCTGCCTGACGACGATGACAGACCAGAAGAGGTGAGAATTTGCTGACAGACGCTGACAATTATGATTAGTTAGTTGCTGTTCTGACACTGTGTAAATGTTTTCAGCGGAGAGCAACAATAGATTCTGCAGACTTCAGTGGCATAAACGATGATGAAATGCTGGACGCCGTGCTGGAGATGAGTCGGCAAGAGGCCGGGCTCTCGGCTCCACCCCCTGTGGAGGATGAGCCAACCAGCAGTCCTGACACAGGCTTTGGGGACACAGACGCCCATGACCTGGCCTATCATACAGATCTGCTGGAAACGGACACCAAACAGCCTGCAGGTAGTCCAACATTATGCAGTTAAGGCATTCAGAAGATGTGGTTTCTACTGTGGGCAGTCAGTTTTTACTTTTCTCAACTCAAGTATATGGGTGATTTAAATTAACTTGACTTAGATTCGTGTCTAAGTATTAAGTTAACTGGTGTGTTGATCTTGTGTAGATGTGTTGGACTCCCTGGACTTGACCATGGATGAGAACAAGGAGAACCAGACTCCAGAGGGTGTGCAGCAGCAGGGGGAATTGGACTGGGTCCAGCAGTACAGTCTGGATCAGGAGAGGGAAGAGCAGGAACTACAGCAGGCTCTGGCCCAAAGCCTCCAGGAACATGTAAGATAAAGGCCATGTGACATCTGTAGGGCTTTTTTAAAGAATGGAACAAGAGCTATATTGTAGCACAGTAATGCTGTGAAACAATTACCCATGTCAAATATGCAGACTGAAAGTAGTAATTGTGGTGACTAGTGTGTCTCATCCTTAATGAGTAATTATGACCATCCAGTCTCAACAGGTATCCTGCAGTTTTATACTTGTTCTCTTAAGAAACTTCAGAATAGTATTGATCCCACTGAAGCTCGTACTTCATGAGCAAGCAGACGTTAAACACCCAGCAGACATTCCCCAAGTGAAAATGCAATGTGGAAATTTCTTACACTAAATCTCAATGTAATACCTTGTTTCCACTTCACCCCAAATAGGAGGCTCAAGAGATGAGAGAGGATGATGATCTGAAGAGGGCCACTGAGCTCAGTTTGCAAGGTATGAACCCCGATTGATTGACTGTTGAAACTGATGAGCTTTGATGATCACATGCAGAGCTTCTTTGGCCAAATGTTTTCAGTGCACTGTTGGTCAGCTGGTGACTGTTGGAGTATGTTAAAGCGGACACTATTAAATCAGACTCACTGCCACAAAAATGCCTGACCAGTATTAGTGTCTCCTTCTCACCCAACAGAGTTCAACAACTCTCTGCCTGATCTGCTGTGCTCGGATGATGATTCTGGCAACGAGGACGTGCTGGACATGGAGTACACTGAAGCAGAGGCTGAGAACCTAAAGAGGAACGCTGAGGTACTTAACATCCTGCTGCCACACAATGTCTGCCATGTGATTTTAAATCAAACTAGATCATAAGTAAAATGAAATTTTTTTTAATGTATTTGCACAATAAACTGAAAAGCGACTAGTAAAACGTTCCTATATAAAAGACGTTATTATTCCTACTTAACCTTTCTAGCTGTACTAATAACATACAGTACACACTGGATACACTGAAACACTTTGATGCATAGTAACCTCCTTATAAACGTTGTAATCCACAGAGCGGAGACTTGGCAAACTCTTTTAGACTCATCAGTGTCGTCAGTCACATTGGGAGCAGCTCCTCCTCTGGTGAGTGCTTGTGTGTGTGTATTTGTGTTGCTGTCCACAGTGCAGATAAATCTTATATCACCATTTATGTAAACTATTGTATATATTATATATTGTTTATGATTGTGCTTTGTGTTAATGAGCACTGTCTTATGTGTACTAACTCTAAAAGAGCTGCTCCTCTTGAATTCACAACTTCCACAACACATACACATGCCAAATAAACGTTATTCATTTTCCCACCCAAAGGCCATTACATCAGTGACGTGTACGACATGAAGAAGCAGTCATGGCTGACCTACAACGACCTGGACGTGTCGCGCACGCAGGAAGCAGCCGTCCAGCGAGACCGTGACCGCAGTGGATACATCTTCTTCTACATGCACAAGTGAGTTGGCAGAACAGGAGGCTTCAGTATATTTCTGTTAAAATCAGCGTGGTTTCTAAGGCTGTTTATGACAAATGTAGATAGACTTCAACATTAGTAGTAAAATGTTAAATAATGGAGGCGATTTAAATACACGTTTTGACACAGTTAAATATACTTTTAATAGTAATCTGAATAATTAGGTTGAAAGAACACAAAATTTAGTTGAATATAAGGAAACCAGGACCAAGTACCAACCTGTTGAAGGCAAGATAGCTAAAACTGTTTGAGTAAAGCACGGTGTACTGATAGGGTGTTTGGTTGTGTATATAAAGGCACCAAGGCTGTGTTTGTTTTCCTTGTCATTGTGTCGAAATTGTGTTTGCTTATAATCTTTAACCTGAATGAAGCCATTTATGACCACTTGACAGGGTGGAATACACATGCAGTGCAATGTTTCCTTTGTAATGTCAGTGAGTCACCAGTTTTACACCCCAGCAAACACTGCGTAGTGGATCAGGTTTCTTTGTGTATGATTGTGTGTTTGTGTCGGAGGGCATTACATGAGGTGGTTTTAACACGCACATTTATCTTGTGTCCTCAGGGATGTGTTTGAGCAGCTGTCTGAAATGGAGAGATCTGGAGCGAGCAGCACTTCAGAGGCAGGAAGGAACGTCCTGCAACCCCTCTGAGCGCTTCATTTTGGACATCCACCTACACACTTACACACACATCCATAGACAAACCCTGGTAGATGGAGTTCTCCTCTGAACAGCCTTGAGTACTACTGATTGCCGTCCTTTTTTGGTCGTCTTCAGGCACTTCTTTTCCTCTACGAGTTACTAAATGGCCTGCTAAATTAGCACCTGTAAATGCCAACACAGGTGCTAAACTTTCTAGACTCTTTAAGATACCAGAAATGCAGTTAAAAATGTTCAGTGGATCAAATTTTGCCTCCATGTTTTTGGGGCTGGAGTTTTTCTTTGCTATGATTTTATCAAACAGCTGTTTTGTAAAGGTTTTTTTTTTTTCCCTTTGTTTGTTTCTTGATACACCTCTTTAAACTTTAAATGCCGTTCATTCAGACTTTCACTTAAAAGCAACTATCAAACACCAGAATGCTACTGGTGCTTCATGGATTGTATGTTTTGCAGACCCTTTATTTCCTTAAACTAAATAAAGATATATTCTATGTTGGAGTATAAGCTATTATAGAGTTAGAGGGTTGTTGTATTTAGCGGGTACATTTGGTGCAATATTTATGTTCTGGCACAAACTGGCCAATTCAAATCAGCTTTCTATCACAGTGTGTGTGGATGTTTGCCCAGTTGCTTTTTGTGCTTGACTTATGAACTAATTTGTGTGTGTGTGTGGTTGTCTCCATATTATAGATTTTGGGGGGAAAAAATCCTTAAGCTCAATAATAACAAAGCCTGTTTTTACTGAACTTTTCTCAGTAAAGCCCTCTTTATTCTTTTTGGGGTTTTGACCTTGTGCCTCCCAAGAAAACTTTTATAAATATGTATACAAGCTTTACTTTGAATGTTGCACAACCTTGTTGTTTTTGAATTTCTTTGTCAACAATGTGTAAGTCAGATTTTCCTTTATAAAAAGCCAAGATTTTCTATTTATTGCAGCATAGGGTTGATTTATCGTAATGAACCCATCAAGATACGCCACGGCGAATAGAAGTCATTAATAGATCGCCAGGAAGGCTAGCTATAGCGTAATGTCTTTTTATTTCACCGTCTTTAAGGCCAGTATACAGTACTTAACACCGTAGACCTCTGCTAACCCTGTTCAACTAGTTCCTATCAGGCGTGCTTGCTTATAGAACGGAGCAAAAGGAAGTATTTTATTATTCCTGTACTGGTTCCACACTGGTTGTACAGCTCTTTTGTTACCACTGTAAAAATGAAATCACACTTCAGTACACAATAGCTAATGTGAAATATTGAAACATTGGTGTCTGCTGGGTGTATTCAGACCACCAAATTATTATTACTCCCCACAGCACAGAAGAAAATCTACATAATATAGCATTATAAAACGTGGCTGATTTAAAAAAAAAAAAAAGTATGAGTATGGACTGAATATGATATTCAACACTTTAGTTTTTTAAGAAAGTGTGCATTATTATTACTAGCTGACTCCTGAAGGTGCAGTATTCTGTTGCAACGTGAATGCATACCGATTATGACAGCAGACAAAAAGGTTACTCAGAATTTGGTCCCCCTTTTTTTATGTCCACCTTGGATTTACATTTGTGTGACGTTGTGCTTTCCTGAACACCTTGTCCCAGATGCAGTGTAAAGAGGGGTATAATGTATTTGTGAAGTAAAAAAAAATTAACAGCTTTTTCTACCCTTCATACACAAGTGACTCTTCCTAAAGCAGATTTTAATAAAATATTACAGTGAAAGTGCACAGACCTTTTTTATTTTTATTTGATCTTTTAAAATGTCTTTCATTCACATCCAGTGTTTTAATGAGGATATCCACAAACTGCTACACGTCTACTGCCAGCTGATAAAAAGGCCTTAAAAACAATAGCTGCACATTGTGACTGTGGAGAAGACCGCATCCAGGTGGGGACTTACATTTGTGTATGAATGAGGGAATGAATTAAAGTTTATTCAACAAAAGTCCACCTGCTTTAAGGATAGTGAACAAAAACATCAAGCACCATAAAGCACGTAGTGCAACCGCAGAGATAACAGGCGACAGCCAGTGTCACCTATCCTGAGTGCATCTCTTTGTCAGTGGCTCTAGATGTCTTCCTGTGAGTCTGTTGTACTCGCTGAGGATGTAGCTTTCCCTCTGCAGCATCTGGAAACAAAACAAATCAACATGTTTTAAAACAGATTACCCACTATGGTGTGTACAGGGGGGGACAAAACAGCACATTCAGATTTACATTTGTGGCCTACACATTAATAAGGTGTAAAATGCATTGAAACAAGACATCAGATCGCACATGTCTAAAAATAATTATGTGAGCAGAGTTTGCCGTTTAAACGTGCTGCAATGTTTCTGCTTGAGAGATGAAACCTGGTTAAACAAAGCATTTTAGAAATGGACACAAATAACAGTTTCAGTTAAACAGTCGTGTTCACCCAGATTTTTATGGGACCATATTTTCATGAATATCCACGCTGATGTCTAGTCGTGCTTTTTATTTTGTTTTGATTTGGTTTGGGTCTTTTTTTGGAACAATGATATTCGAACATTTCAACCACACATGTAATCTCCAAACAAACCTCAGTCCATTCTTCCTCTGTCTCGTGTCTGTAGCCCAGCAGGTGACAGATACCGTGTGCAGTGATGACCTAAAACACGAGAAGAAAAAGAGGAACAATGAATACCAAACTAAAAATAATAAATAACATATTCTAATTGAAGATAAGATAGCATTTATTGATCCCACACTGGGGAAATTCACTCGCTAAATAATAAAATAGATAGATACAAGACATAATGAAAATAGAAATAGTAGGTAAGAGTTTTTGTATATTATTTACACAATATAGAGCTTTTTTGTTTATATACAGATGTGATTGATAGGGGACATTGCACAGGGTCACAGCAGGCGGTAGTGGCATGGTTTAACAATACAGGACTAATATTAAATCATGTGTGTTAGAAATGTTATATATATGTGCAAAAACTGCAAATGTTACTGCAAACAGAGCAAAGCAGTTGTACATAAATATATATATAATCATGTATCACATTTACTGATTCATCAATGTGCCAATAAATAACACAAACAACTAATGTTTATCTGAAGTCTGGTGTGCAGCTACTCACAGTGAGGGCCCCGTGCAGGTCCAAGGAGTCCTCCTTACACTGCTTCATCACAAACTCCACACCCAAGAAAATGTCCCCAAGGTTCAGCTCATCTCTATGGAGGGGGCAAGGCAGCTTCCCAGGTCTCAGGTCCTGAAAACACAAACAGGGAAGGAGAACATGGACCCTGGTGAACAACTAATGGGTTCACTGTTATTTGAAGATATACTTTATTGATCCCCTAGGGGAAACTGTTTTCAGCAGGTTTTTTTGGGGGGGTTAGACACCTTTCTCAAGGGACAATAACATCTCTCTATCTACCAGTCCACACTTTATATTTTGTCGTCTGTGGGGCTCGAACCGGCGACCCTCCGGTTCCCAACCCAAGTCCCAACACCCCGACCTACCCCATATTTGTAGGCATATTTTACCTCGTAGAAAGGAAACGAGAGAACATCCGTGGGCACGTTTTTCTTCCTATACATGTGATTGATTTGCTGAATCTTCTGGTTGTCCACGCAGATGATGCCCAGGTCAAACTTCTGGACGCCCAGTATGTGTCTGAGTGTGTCGACGTCCCTGCGCAGTCGGGCGCGGCGCAGAGGCACCACCTTCTGGAGATTGCGCAGAACTACACCCATTTTAAAACCACTCGACGTAAAAGGAGAAAATTTAAAAAAAACCCGACACATCAGGTGGAAAAAAGGTAAAAACAAAAAAACAAAAATAAATAAATAAACCCACCGTGAACGTTACAGTTTTCCAACGGCGGTTATTTTTTTTTTTTACGTTAACGGTCGGTTCGGATTTACGTTGGTCGCGAGCGGTGTCAGGAGGAATTCAAGGTGACGCGTCCCGGCAGTATCAACACGTTAGTTCCCCCCCACCACCACCACCACCAGAAACAGAAACAGACGGTTTTAGTTTTCTCTTTGTTGTGTTAACGTTAGATGGTAAAAAATATAGTCACATTCTGCCGTGAACACTTGCCCGGTTAAAAACCCATTCAAGCACTGGTGAGGTCGCAACGCTGGCAATGGCGGAACGGATGATCGGACACCTAAAGAGGCGTCGGACCGGAACCGGATGTAGCCAAATGTGCTTGAACTGAACAACAAAAAAAAAACATCGCAAACATTAACAGAGCAAGGTAAGATTTATTTATTTATTTATTTATTTATTTAGTGCCTACTGTAGCTGTATTTCCTTATGAGTGTTTGTTGTGTCCGTATAACAACTTAAGCGACAATTAAATCAACATAAACAACATCGCTGCTGTTAGCTTCAGCTAGCGGCCGAGCGGTTTTAACTCATCACAGTCTTTTTATTATTATAATTAATATCCTTTTTTTAACGTGGACAGGGTTTACAGATCGTCTGCGGGGGGTGGGGATGAGAAACATTTACGTCAACAAATAACCAAAAGATACTGAACATCCGCTGACATTTGCGCCATGAATCCGTCCAACCCGTTTGGCAGTCCACAAGGTGGGGCTTTCCAAGCTCCCAACAACACCATGAAGACTGGTTTGTTCCCCTCATTTGGACAACAAAACCCAAGCAACCAGCCCCAGCCTATGGGCTTCTATCAGCCGTCAGCGTTTGGACAGCCATCTGCCTTAAATCAGCCCCCACCTCATGGAAATACCATCTTTGGACAGGCCCCTGCCTTTGGACAGTCCACGCAGCCCCCCTCGCTGCCTACAGTGAGCCAAGCTCCAGCATTTGGGCAGCCGTCACTAGGGATGAGCTCAGGCTTTAGTAGTAACCCTGCGCCGGCTTTTGGACAGACAAGTGGATCGAACCAGAGTTCGGTCTTTGGGCAGACCCCTGCATTCGGACAGCCCTCTGCATTTGGGCAGGCTCCGGGATTTGGCCAACAGCCACCTGGGTTTGGGAACACCCAGATGGTGTCCGGCTCCACCGCTGCCATAGGCCAACCGCAGCCACTGGGTTTTGGACAGTCTGTGTTCGGACAGCCGTCATCTACCACCGTCACCACCAGTGTATTTGGCGCGGGTCAGAGTGTGACCCAGAGCAGAGGCTTTGCACCATCAAAGTTCAGTTTCAAGCCAGCCACTGAGGCTCTGTTCAAACCCATCTTCAGTGCCAGCCCTGAGCCCGCTAACCCTCAAACTACTTCAATGTCCAGCTCACCTTTTAGCAGCAGCGTGTCCCAGATGACCTCTAGCAGCAGCAGCACCACCACCACCACCACCGGCTTCCCCCTATTACCTGGTGCTAAGTCTGGGACGCTGGGTTTCAGTTTCTCACAGCCGGCTGCAGCTCCCTCGATCTCTACTCAGAACAATCCACTAACAAGTGGCAGCAGCACCGGCCCCTCCAACAATCTGCAGTTCACCTTTTCCCAGCCAGCTGCCCTCTCCAGCTCCAGCACTCAGGCATCCGCCACCCAGCCCACCACCCCGTCGTCTTTCAGCTTTTCAGCCAAAGCCCCCGAGCCCCAAGCAACACCCCTTTTTGGAGGAACCAATTTTGGCCAGCCCCCACCTTATGTAGACACCAACGCCAAAGCAGAGACTAATACGGATGAGAAAGGGAGCGGCATTGAGAGTCTAGGAGACACAAATGTATTTGCACGATTGGGCAAAGGCACCAAGCGCAAGGAAGATCCAGCTGCCCCGAGCACTGGCCCGGAGACGCCTGTCACAGAGGAGGAGGTTCCAGCAGAATCAGATTCACCGAGACATCCCTCAAAGAGGCCCCTGATGAGGTCCCGCGGCCCACCAGTAGGCTTATTTGGCAGGGCACTGAATGCGCTCCGTAGAGATGGCCCTAACCCAGCGAGGCGTGAGGACACAAAAGACACTCCGCAGGAAGCGTTGACGCAGGAGGAGACAGAGAGGGAAGATGTCCAAGCTAAGAGTGACAACCTACCTGCTGCACAACCCATAACGCAAACACTGACCTGGGATGTGCAGGAAAAAGAGCAAGAATCAGGTGAGCTGTACAAATGCACCATGTGTAGAAGCTGCATTTTGCATCAAGGTGTGTTCTGAAATCTTTGCAAAATAAATTGTAAAATTTAGATTTTATTCACAAAAACCTGAGTGGATTGCATTATTAGAATATACTCATTCTGTTGTCTGCCCGTTACCCATCATCCCTCTCTAGACTCCGCAAGGCCCCCGGATCCGAAGCTCGAAACCACCACCCCTGTGAAACGTAGCGTACGCACGGAGAGCTCAGAGAGCCTGGGCGGCATGTCTCCCACTGACTGCACCACCATCATGTGCAGGAATGTTCCTCCAGCCTTCAACAAGAAGGACATCATCGAGAAGCACTTTGGTCGCTTCGGCAAAGTCGGCAGAATCATCTGCAAGCCTCCCAGGAACCAGGCCGTAGTACACTTCAATGACCATGTGAGTTTACTCTGTTAACTACCCCCATTAAACTGTTCTCCTAGTTTGTATTCTTTATATTCTTTTGCTTTCTGTCACTGTTAACTGTTCTCTCTTTCAGGCATCAGCGGCCAAAGCAAAGAAGAAAGGCAAAGTCCTCCGTGGACAAGAACTCCTTCTCTTGTGGCAGAGAAAGAAGCAGAGTAAATACAACATATTTCTATGAAAGCTTAATATAATTAATATAGATGTGTTTGCCAGTACCCAACAGTTCTGCTGTATTTATATTACCCTTTTAGACAGCTTGGTTGTACAGACCTACAAGCTAAAGTGACTATAAATCCGGACGTTGTTATACAATGATGTAAAGTTTCCTGAGCAGTTCATATTGCCTTTAATTCCTTGCAGTACGTCACTATATTGATTCTGATTTTTATTTTATTTTTTGTACATTAGGTCCAGGTGACAAAGGGAGTAGGCCTGCAACGGGAGCAGCAGAGGGAGAAAGTCAGGAGCACGCAGAGTCCAAAGCCACTTCCTCCCCACTCAAAAGACCTTCACTCGTAGCTCCTGCACTCACCTCCACGATGGCCTTCAGCCGCAGGTAACCCCCCCCAATGAAACCTGTAAAGGCCCCTGTATGAAAGTGTTGGTTGTTATTACAGTTTTTAGTCGAAATGCCTTAATCTAACAGACCTGGACCAATGGATGCCCTAAAAATAGTTGCTGTACAGCGGTGACTGTCTTACATGTGTCCTTTTATGCTTCAGCTCTCCGGTGAAGAAGTCGTCATTTGCCAAGGCGCTGCAGTTTGACACCGAAGTCCAGAAAGACAGCAGCACTGAAGCCCAGAGCTCAGAGCGCCCTGTCCCCTCCTCCCTCCTCCACCTCCTTGGCCAGGTGGCTGAGACCGCAGAGGACAAGTACCGCCTCCTGGAGCAGAGAGACAAGATCCTGCGTCAAGGTTGAGACGCCTCTCACACCTATTCCATCTGTTCCAGCCATTAACATGACTAAAAACATGAGGGACACTAACTGTGTGCATAATATGTCCACACAGGTCGGCCCAAGAGGACGGACTTAGACCTGTCTAAGGTGTTTGTGGGGACATGTCCTGACATGTGTCCAGAGAAGGAGAGGTACATGAGGGAAACACGGAAACAGCTGAGCATATTCGAGGTCATCCCGGATTCTGAGATGGTAACGTCTTTTGTAGACTTATTTCTTTCAGCTGAATCATCACTGTGAAATGTTACATTGTGTATCTTTATTTAAACTCTGTGATGCTTTTGCAACATCGGTCACTTGCCACACATATTAAAACGTGTGGAATAAGACCAAATCGTCTGTTATGCAGGCTAAATTAAACAGCGTCACCTCCGTTTCCCAACCAGGTGGATCACGCAGCAGCCATCAAGGAGTACAGCCGCTCATCAGCCGACCAGGAGGAGCCCCTGCCTTACGAGTTGCGCCCCCTGCCTGTGCTCAGCATGACCATGGACTATCTAGTGACTCAGATCATGGACCTGGGCCATGACAACTACCGGGACTGGTATGACTTTGTCTGGAACAGGACCCGTGGCATCCGCAAGGTGAGCTGCCATTTTCAAACGTCAGCTGTAGTCGACCTGAAATCTTGTGTGAATTAAAAAAAATAATTATTATTTGTTTGTCCTCAAGCGTGGTTAAAATCCCAGTCATTCCTCTGTCACACCTACAGGATATCACCCAGCAGCATCTGTGCTGCCCACACACGGTGTCGCTGATCGAGAAGTGCACACGCTTTCACGTGCACTGCGCTCACCACCTCTGCGAGGAGCACATCTCAACTTTCGACGCCAAGATCAACAACGAGAACATGACAAAATGCCTCCAGAGTCTCAAAGAAATGTACCAGGACCTCGCCACGCGTAACATCTACTGCTCCCGGGAAGCAGAGTTTCGCCTGTACAACGTGCTGCTGAAACTCAACGACGGTGACATCCTACGGTCAGCCCACTGAAAAACACACATACACAAATGTTTAAATATGTGCAAAGTGCCTGTTTTTGAAATTATTTGATACATATTCAGCTGTGACTTCACTTTTTGGGGCATGCTTGTTTAGCGTTCAGTGCATGTTGTACCTCACTCTATGTGATAAAGAAAAACTTCCTCTCTTTATGTCCACGCAGTGAGGTGCAGCAGTTCCGTGACGAGGTGCGCAATTCCCCGGAGGTGAAGTTTGCCGTGCAAGCATTCACTGCAGTGAACAGCAACAACTTTGTGCGCTTCTTCAAGCTGGTGAAAGGAGCCTCCTACCTCGCCAGCTGCCTTCTACACAGATACTTCAATCAGGTCAGAAACAGTTCATGAACGATACTGAAGAAACCTTGATCTTTTGGATCGTTCGGATGTGATCCTGAACTTTAGAAATATAATGGATGAGATAAAGTATGTGCGCTTATTCTTTTCATTATGTGCAGTAGGTGAATTCAGGCAACAGTCATTGTCCTTTTTCCTGTTTTCATGTACAGAGAAAGGTTTTCAGTTTTTAGACATCTAAAAAGTGTTTAACATGGGTCTGCTCTGTTATACGTAATGCTATTGGTACCGCTCACAGCCGTGATAAGTGCTGGTTTTAAAGTAGTAGATGCAAATAATGTTAGTAAATGTTGCATGACAGAGCAAGTCCAGAAAGTATTCTGTGTTCATAAATATTTATGTTCTTTCAAACGTATGTGTGTGAATGCAGGTCAGAGCTAAGGCCTTGAAGACCTTGAACTTGGCTCACACCGTGGGTCCGCGATCAACTGCGTTTCCACTTGAGGACATAGTTCGCATGTTAATGTTCCGCAACGCTGCAGAGGCGACTGACTTCATCCAGCAGTACGGCCTCAATGTCAACGATGAGTAAGTTTAACAACCTCCTTAGTAGCGTTACCAAACACTGAGTCACTGATATCGACTGTACTGCGAACCTCGTATCAACGAAAGTTTCACAAAATGTTGTTCACAGTCTGGTAGAGCTGAGTCGGGTAGCCTATCAGGAGCCAGATCTGCCTCTATCCCAGAAGAAGTCAGAGGTCATCCTCTCAAAGAAAACAGTGTTGATTGGAGAAGTGGTGAATGGAGGCCCCCTCCCTATTCTGCCCCATCACAACCCTGTCTGCAGCTTTGACTCCCAGAACAAGTACCGTGGGGAAGGCCCTCTGGCTGAGCCCACTGCGAGCCAATATAAAGGTATTCACCCCCATTTCATGTTTTGTTTTCTCTCCATTTACAGTGCATATAGACGCTGTGTCTCATTTAGGCTAACATGAACCGTATTGTTTGTATGTGGAGCTGGGATATTATTTCCAGGTCTTGATGTTTGCCACAGTACTATAGAAATATTTCACTTTATCTGACCCACTATATGCTGCATCGTAGAGCTGCTGGAACTTTTTTTATGAGAAAGAAAACTTCTTCTTTTAGTAGCAACTGGAGTTCTAAGAAGTCTGTATGTAATGTAAGTATGTAGTGAATCAGACTCCTTAATAAAGCTGAAATGTGTCTGCATTGTCTCAGCTGTTGCTGCCAAGGTGAATGCTGAGTTGCTGACACAGGCCGTGTCGGTCAAGGACCATGGCATGGCCCATGCGTTTGGGATGCCTCCAACTGTTACAGATGAGACCGGAGAGCCCAGCGAACCGTATCACAGCTCGGCCCACCCTGCTGATGCTCAGCAGCTGTTCCAGCCGATATCTCAACCTCAGCCTGTCAAATCAGCATCTCCTCCACCCAAACCTCAGCCGGTGTACAGCAATGAGGTGAGCAAGATCTCTCAGCTTTTTGTCTAGGACCACTTCACATGCTCTGATCATTGTATTGTATTGTATCATTCAAAACAAGCAATCTGCAGATGGTACCTTTTTGAACTTCTTGACATTTCATCGACCATAAAATTCATAACCATTAGTTGCAGCCTTAAATATAATATAAAATAGAATAGTTAAATACATTCTGTATTAATTACAGCTCATTAAGGAAACACTGAACTCTGTTTTTAGTGTGCATGCCAGTAACTGTGCTGTTTTTCTTCCCTCCTGCAGGACGTTATGGCTGTACTGGACTGTGTGATTGAAGAGGTAGTTGAATCAGCGGTGAGGGAGGTAGCCGATGCTGGTGCCAGCTACGCCACCACAGCTCTCGCGTAAGTTCAAGTGATCCTCCATTCAGCTTTTCTTGTTTACGATAGATACATTTAAATCATGTGCTTACTTCCATTCCTCACAGTTAGCATTCATTTATCTGATTACGGTGTGTAGAGGGAGTCAAGATCTGATTGTTAAGATGACTAACTTGCTGTTCCGTTGCCTTCTGTGGTGCAGGGAGAGCAGTGTGCAGGCAGAGACTCTGGTGAGTGAGGTGTTGGGACAGATGCTGCAGGAGATGTCCTCCGCTGAGATCAAGCTGGAACAGGAGCGTGTTACTGAAGAGAAACGCAAGGTTGAAGAAGCCAGGTTGGTCTGACCCGTTGATTACAGCACACTGTACTTTATCATAACACTCAGATTGGTTAAGAAGGGGGGAAAACGTTTTATCTAGAGGTTACAAAAGTTTTATTAATCTAAACTGTTAGCAAAGCATGTAGATTGTGACATCCAGAGAAGGGCTGCACAGTCATTGTCTCTTCCACAAAAAAACACAGGATTAATACTAGTTGCGATCAGTTATCATAATCCAAGTATTTGCCAATTTAAAGCGAGTGTCAAATTAGCTTTATTTGCAACAACTCACCCCCAAATTTCCTTCTCCCTGTCTGTCATTGCCAGGAGGAGGCAGGAGCATGAGGCCTTCCTGGTTCATTTCAGCTTCTCTCTCTGCACCGAGATCATCCATGAAGTTTTGGATGAGTCCATCAAGGAGACCGCCACCTCTGAGATCCAGTAAGGCTATGAAACTCCACCAAATTATAATCTGGTTTAGTGTAAAGTTTTCAGAAATGAAGAAGCCTGGTCAAGTGGCATACTTATTTTCACTGAATGACACTTTTTAAATTCTCTTTCAGACGGGCAGTGAATGAGAAAGCAGACCGTGTGGCTAAATGCACAGAACAGGTCTGTATGAGTCTCGTTGAGGAGACTTTGAATGCAGACATCGCTCTGTTAGTTGAAGATATCCTTGAAGCTGAGCTGCAACGCATCCACAAGTACATCAAAAGGTAAGAAAGAGAGAAAATGTACAAAGCCAGACAAACATTCAAACCATAATGTGAAGTAACAGGTGCAACAGATCAAAATCAATTAGTCAAACTGAAACACCAGTGTACGATTCTTACTCTGGCACAATGTAGTTTAAATATCCTTTTTACAATTCATTGTCTGTATCACTAGGTGGCGTGATGTGGTAGCAGTACGTCGGCAGCTAAAGAGACAGATGAGAGGTTTCCCTGCAGCTCCTTGCTGCGTGGACCCTCGATTCAAACTGAAGGCTCTGGCTCCCAGCGCCCCAGCACAGCCCTCTATGGCAGATCTGGCCCGTGGTGTGGTCAACCTGGGAAACGCCGGCACCTTGGCCCTCTCCAGCACCAGGTATGCTCCTCTCCAGCGCTGTTATCTAAGTGTGTCTTTGAAATACACAAGGATTTATCTCATGAAAAGCTGGTGAATATGATACTTCACCATATTTTCCACTCCATTATTATGTGATTTACAACTCATAAACATTATAAACATAATATGTTTACAGCATGTCGTCTGTGGCAAAATCACTTTTGTTTTTACTCTACTATCACTTTAGTGCTCCAGTAACATGTTATGTATTTTGTCAAGGTTGTTGAAAATGAGACAAGAAGTCATCCACCAGATGAGAGTCCACTACTACTATCAGCTCCTGCTCGAGTAAGTCAGCAGTATGTTTCTTCAGTCAGCGATTAATGTCACAAAGCAGCATTTTGACCTCTTTTTGGTGTTTCTCTCAGTGAGACAGTGTGGGCACCTCTCGACCTGCCAGCACTAGTGACAGAAAGTATCTCCAACCCCCCTGACCGAATCTTCTGGAAAGCTGTTCTCCTCTTGCCGAGCGACCACGAGAGTGTCGCGAGCCTGTCAGACAGGTAAGCAGCTGACGTATGACAAAAGGTCACCGACAAGCAGAAGTGTGATTACCTCTAAAATTGAATTCAATTTCTTGTCATTGGAGGCACCCAATATTCACTGGACCTTTCCTTGAATGTGTCCTCTCCTGTCTGTTGTGTTTAGGATCCTGTCAGACTGGCTGGAGGTGAAGCTTAGTGGTGGCAAGGAGTCAGAGGCAAGTGAGGAGCAGCTTGACGGGACACTGCAGACTCTCTGTGTCACCAACACACTCCAGGAAAAAGAACACCACATTCACAAAGTCCACGTCTGCGTCAAGGTAGGATCAGACTGCAGCTTATATGAACAATAGCAGTCGAATGCATAGGAAATACAAACAAATCAGGTTGTTTTGAGACATTGGGGTTCATCTAAGGGTAGAATATACAGTGATGATTAATGACAAAAGGCAAGTGTATAATAAAGAATGAGACATATCTATGTCTCTGTGAGACAGTGTGGGTGTCAGCAGTAGTGACAGAAAATAATCATTAAATGCTAATAGGTAGTTTTAAAAGACAGATGGTGAGTGAGTGGCATGCAATATATGCTTCACAATATATCTAGACGTATTAATACCCCACGTTGGTATTGAAGAAGATATTAATTGCCGTGCCTCAGTACTGTGTAATATGGGATCTTCTGTCTCCCAGGCGTCCCGAGGCCCTCTGACTGAAGACGGCCTGTCCAAAATGGAGGACTGCTGTGAGCTCCATGGGACGGGAGCTCTGATCACGTTGCTCCCCGCCCTCCCCATCGTTGAGCCTGGGCAAGAAGAACAGGATGTACCTCTGCTGTCAGCCCTGCTTCAGCTTAAACAGCTACAGCAGGCCAGCACCTGGCACTGCCCACTGCCTCTGGTCATCTTGGTGCCAGGGCCGCAGGGTGGCACTGGTGATATTCAGAAACTTGAAGAAGGTAGTTAGTGACAGCTATAATCACATGCATACACTAAGATTAAAACAATGGTCACAAAATGTGTAAACCCTGAACTTATTCCTGTCATGGTGCCTTGTCCCTCAGCCCTGATGCTGCACACACTGGTCAAGGAAGGCCTGATATCGGAGTACACATTCCTCTTCATACCACAGACCACAAGTGACCTACAGGGATCCAAACAGGTACTACACATATACACAAAACACACCTGTCAGTGTGTCGTCATATTTCTTTCACCTTCCGAGCAGGACTACGTTTAATAGTGATGTCGTATGTAGGTTAAAGTGGCTATAATAGATTTTTTTTTTTTAAATGACACAATGAATTTTCGTTGTTCGTTGTGCTGAAACTGAATCTGCAGCTGCCCTCTGCTTTACAGAGTTTTATAGCAAGCTTCAGCTACTTGTTTAGGTTTCCGGCACGCAACTTTGCTTTTTTGGTTCAATCTCACCCGTTGTTGTGGAAGAAGCTTTAAAAATCCATCATACGTTCAATATTCACTCTCTGGCTCGGTTTGTGATCCTCCCCAGAGAAATATCAGCCTTTATAGCTGCTTTAATTAAACTATGTCCACCATCTAGTCACTAACTGTCTCTGTGTGCCATTTGATGCAGGTTAGGTAGGGCACAGTAGAGTTTTATAGTTTTTTTGCTGCCACACCTGCCTGCTGCTGCTAAACACTCTGATGAACCAGATCAATAAGGTTGCAGTCTGTAAAACCAAAACAATGAGCTAAAAGATGATAATTCTGCCGCTTTAAGCAAAGACAGTAAAATTGTTTGCAAAAAAGAGAAACAATTTTCTAGCATTAAGTGTCAATTTATGCAGCACCAAACTTAACCTGCAAACTGCTATAACTCCAAACTTGTAATACTTGTCAAGACTAAATGAATTTTACCATAATCTCCGAAATTTTAGGGGAACATTACTTTAATATAGAGATATACGCTACCTGTGATGAGGTTTTGCGAGTCGACCCTCCTTCATTGTGAGGGGTCACACGCCAAAAAGTTTCAGAATCACTGATACAGAATGTTTTATAGTTTTAAAACATTTCTTCTTAGTCCTTATAGACTATGAACCTTCTCCCTACCTGTCCTGTTTTGTATCTCTAGCTGAGCCAGGCTATGCGTTGGCTGCTGGCCCGTGCTCCACCACCCTTCCCACTCTCCTGCCAGACTCTGGTGCAGCTCATAGAGGCCAGATTGAGTCGCGAGTTCAGTCCCAGAGTTTACGCTCACCGCCAGGAGCGTGCTGATGCGTGTCTTCCTTCCGAAGAACCTGCGCCTATCATCAAGCTGTACAACGCCATCCTGGCTCACATTGCTGACACAGTGTCGTCGCAGGAGCTCAGCAGACTCTCGTGGCCGCCGAGCGAGTTCTGCCTGTCCGATAACCGTGAGTTTGTCCCTCATCTGGGCTGGAACTCTGTCCAGCACCTGGCCTGGCTACGCGAAGCCATCCTCAGCCTGCAGCTGCCACAGTGGGAGCAGCTATCAGTCACAGGTCAGTGACTGAGGTGTCATTTTTTGTCTTCAGTCATTAATGGTTCCCTGACGGTATCAAATCCACTTGAGTACAAATCAACCACAAAGATGTGAACAAGAGACCAATAATAATGTATGATACTTCCCTCTCCCTCTAGACTCATGGTCTGAGCTCTGCTCCTCCATCTTTCGCTACGCCGCTCAGATCCCAGTTTCACGCCGCAGTCAGCCTCTCCTAATGTCACGGCTGGAAAACCTTCTGGAAAGGGTCCGGCTAAAGGTTCACCATTCCCGAAACCCCAGATCCAAGGTAACTACGAGCAACTGGGGCGATGTAGACGGGAATTTGTGTCCATCCTTCTGTCACATTCCTTGGGACGACGTGCTGGTGATCTGCATCGACCACAAGCTGAAAGACTGGCAGATTCCTGGAGCACCTGTCTGTGAAGGTGAGGACATTCTCAGGGAACATTATTTTATTTTTTAGAATAAGAACCAATTCACATTTTCTGTGTGAATCTACTGGTAATGTATGACTTGCAATCCAAAATGTAACTATTTGTTTTGTTGTTTAAGACGCTGTGACGGAGGACGGGGAGATACTGGTTTACTTCCCCACGGAGTCGTTGAAGGATTTCCAGCCACCTGAGGAATGGACCCAGGCTATCAAGCAAACCCACAGGGAGAAGCAGCAAGAGAAGGAAGGGTAGGAAGTTCCAAAAATCACTAAAAGATCCTTTGGACTTTTAATTTAACTTTAAAACTGCTGGATCTCGAGGCAGTTTCATAACATTTCAGCGAATCAAGGGAATTTTATTTTATCATAGACAGGCGCATATTAATAAATGTACATTGTTCTTATTTATTTCAAAAGTGGACATATAAACTTTTACTTCTCTTCCCTGTCACTGGAGTTTAAATAGGACGTTACTAAAGATGCTCATAGTTTTCAAAGAACATATAAGCGAGTACAAGTCACATTACGCCACATTGCAGTTACATAATCACAATACTTTCATCCAATTTCTCCCCCTGTCTCTCTCTACCATCCTCTTCCATCCTCAGGGCGAGTGCAGCTGCTTGTGCCACACCCACCAGTCTGTCCCTCAGACAGAGGTTGTTCCACAGCCTGATGGAACCTCTCGAGGTCCCGACATCCTCGCTGGATATCACGCACATTCCCACAACACAAGAGCTTCTGGCCCACAAAGTCCTCCAGAGCTTAGAGGAGGAGAAGGCTGAAAGCAAAAGGTACAGCTACACTTCACTTCACTGCAACAAGAGCTTTGGTTTGTGCCCTTTTGAAAGAGGTATATGAATAAAAAAATGAATAACCTTATTAAAAACCAATAAAATGTTCTATATTCTATAGAGGAATATTTTTGACCACTCAAAGAAAGAAGAACTTCATAATAAGTATGTGTGTATGTGCGCTGTCTGCAGGACCATGGAGCAGCTTCAACGCTGGCTGGATGGGGACCCGGTGGAGCACTTGTCCACACCGCTTTTCGTTCCATCCTCCACTCTGTTGTCCATGCCCACAACAATAACGCATGCACCCGCTGCCAAGACTCGGGACGCCGCTCTCACACAGGTAGGAAGTACCCCCTCACCTCACTCAGCGATCCTGGGAGAGGTTGCATCCTTTTTCAAACAGCCAGTAGTAGTACTGTAGTAGCTCACCTGGTAGAGTGCTTGTCATCCTCTCTCTCTCTCTCTCTCTCCTCCTTTGTCGTGTATCTTCAGCTGACTCTATAGAAATAAAAGCATAAAAAGTACCAAGAAGGTTTGGTCTAACCTACTGAGCTTTACACTTTGCCTTGCGTATTCTGCTTTTAAGATCAGGTATTAGCAGTTGCAGTAAACTTTCTCTTCAAGCTACACAATAGATTACACTTTCGTTGTAATGCATTTTCATTGTTTTGACTTTTTCAGGAGTCAGAGCCTGATGATCTTTCAGACAGAGCAAACTGGACTAAAACCACACCTGTATCTATGGCATGGCGACTGAAGGAGCTGGAGCGACAGATTTTGGCGAGCCAAGAGGAAGAACTGGCGTGCAGACTGAAGCTGAGCGGGCTGCTGAGCATTGTCGATGACTGATGAACTGATGCAGTTCAATATTTTAACCAATGACTATACAGTTTTGCAATTTCTTTTGAAAACTGAGGACAATCTGTGACTCTGTTGAAGTCACATTCACTGATTGCAGCAGTGTGTGTCTTTATTTTTTGTGTGTGTATTGAAGTCTGGCTTTGTACAATAGGAAATGAAAATCAAGATTTTTACTCTAGTTTTATTTCGTAACACATTTATGACTTGTAAAGGTGCGTGTGTGTGTGTGTGTGTGTGTGTGTGTGTGTCTCTATATACAGTGTCTTCACATTTTTGTTGGTTTTTGCTCAAATGTGATATGATGCGGAGTGTGTTTGAATCTCTAGAGAAGCTGCTTCTGTCTTCAGTGTTTGAACCTATTTTTTTATGTTATGAAATCCTCTAACTGATAAATATTGAATAAAAGTGTTTTTTTTTTACCCATACAGCTTCAGTTTTCATTCAGTAATTCAACCGGCTCCAACATTCAGTCGTCATAATCCAAGTGTGAGCACTGTGCAGTGTTTGACCTCACTGCATACCCGTCGCTTCCTCTGTGTAGCTGCTTTGTGATTAGACAGCTGAGTCTCTGCTCATGTCTCTGTCTTATTTAAGATCTAAACTTTGAAGACCTGAACACAAAACATATTCTGAGCTTTTACTCTGCAAAACAGCCTCCCCCTGTGTTAGAAAAGCATAAAAAAGTTTTTATCTATATTAAACTATTCAAAAGAAGGAAACCATTAAACACATTAGTCCAAAAACTGATGGCACACAAATGTTTTGTACATTGCAGGTTAGCAATGAACTCAACAACATAATAAATGGAAAAAAATATATTAAGTGTATCCCTTCGTATCCCTGGCGGGTGTTTCATTCAATAATAAGAAGAAGGGAAGTTTCATTAGAATTTCTCTAAAAGTTGGACTTTGAATCACTCCCCTGACCTTGTGACTGTTCCTGTTGAAAATGAACTGTATGAACACATCCAGGGCGACAAAAACTTCACTAAATGTATCAGCATTGGACCGGTAGTACACACAGATACTAAAAACACAGATATCCCAAATAAAGACGACAGATTTGAGTGTGGGATATGATTAACAAATGATCATCATCCTATTTAAACTGACAGTGTGAAAGAAATGGGAAATGAAAATGCAGGTGAGACTTTACTCGCTGCTCTTTTTATATGTTGAGTTTTAAGGATGTAGTAGGTTTAGCTTTTCTGCTAAAGTTGGGCATTTTAACACGTGTCCTTATGAAGATTGACTCGCTTTTGGGGTCATCCTGAAGTTGTTGGTAAGTCTGTTGCTAAAAAACATACAGTCCATACTCGTTTAATGCACTTCACTGTCGGATATGTTCAGTGTCAAACATTACGGACTGTCTGTTATTACACAAAACAGTGGAGATGGACATATAATAATTATTAAGTCTCTGGCTTACAATTAACAAAAGGTCAGACATAAGTCACCAGATCGATTTTAATTTAAAATGAACAATAATTTCACAAGAACAGCATCATGTAAGTTGGTGTGTGATTTTGCAGCTTTGTAAAGGAGCTCAGTTCACTCCCAGTGTTACTCAACCTGCTAATATGAAAAAGGGGAACAAGGTCCCAAATATTTACGTGACATTTCTGCCTCCTTTCAACATTCAACAGGTCGTAAACTTTTCCTTTTGCAATATTGTGGTCATTTCAATAGAAAAGGAACCTAATGATTCATGTTTCCATGTTAAAAAGAGGACACACTGTGCAGCCTGTGTCTGCGTCCGTCTGTCTCCATTCACTGTCAATTCAATTCATTTAGAGTGGCTTTACTGACAGGACTGCATATAGATATGTTATCAAAGCACCTTAACACAAAGTATGATTTCTTAATAAACATAAATAAACAAAATATATAATAAACAATAACAGTACAAAGGGGCGTATAGAACAACGAGCTATGAGAGGTATGTAAGAGTAATTTAAGATACAAGCATTCAACAAATGAACTATTAATTAACAAACATTAATTATTAGCCATGTGGGACAGACCTGTGGAGCTTAACTCCCTCTCTCCCAGTAGGACTCGAATTCTCTCCGAGTCACTAAGACACAGAAACTCTGGGAATATAGAAAACATAATTGAACTTTTCTTTGGTCTCTATGGTTTTGATATTTGTTGCACTGAGGGGACTCCTTTGTGGGTTCAGCTCCTGGCAGCATCTGGCTTTGTATGGAAAAGGAGAACAGGTTGCTTGTTTTAATATTATTCCAGAAATATGGGGAGTTGGGAGCTCTTCTCTGCAGCCAGAGGATACTTTTACAGAACTCTGCGTATAGGATTTCAGTGGGATGTTTGTCCCATTTGATCCAGTCCTGTTGAGTCTGTGTACACCAAACCACACTGCCACGTGATTTTAATTTGAATATTTTGAGCCAGGTTCTAATTGGTAGTTCAGTGTTTATTCATCTCTTGGTGGTTCAGAAAGTCATTTTTGCTTTGTCTTTTAGTTCATTCACAGCCAAGCTGAACTTTCCATTATTTAAATTTGAGTCCTAAATATATGTGTAATAATTTGTGTTTTTCAGAGAGGTTGTTTTCGATTGTGAAACTGCTATTGGTTCTCTGTAGTCTGGACATTTTGGGAAAAATGTGTGCCTTGGTTGGTTGACTGACAGTATTTTTTCTAATTCTGATAGGTGTTACTGTTACTCCTCTTTTAAGGTGGACAACACTACCAAGCATCTTAAACATATCCAGGATATCTTCTTGTTATCTGGCTTCACTAATGCTAACAACCACAATAACACCAAGCTGTCCCACAATTGTGTTTCAGCAAGTCTTAGAAAATAGTTTAAAAAGCTCAACCTTAACCAACAGTAAATTCTTGCTTTTATATTAATGACTAAGTATTAATCATCTAATGATATAATATAGACACAGGGGACATTTTTCGTTGCTTTTACATTTTCCTGATTATATTTACATACTTGGGACACAGTTACTCTCTAATTGAAAACTAAAAAGAAAGAAAATTGATTAACAAGAGTCAAACTAATTCCTAATGTTTAAGAATTTAATGATAAACTGTCGTTGCTGATTGAACAGCTTTGCTTGTTTCTTTAAAAATATATAAAATGTTATAAACTGAAGCAAAAGCAGAAGTTTGGACACCTCAATAAAAAAAAAAAACTGCTGTTGGGAGTTGAGGCTCTGCCCCTGATGACTTCCTATAAAAGCAGAGCCAGTTCACTGCTGAGTGTGTGGATCTGCTCTCCAGAACTCAGTAAGTTCACTACAACATATCTGGGCTACATTGATTATCTTGTATTTGTCTTGTCTTTTTTCCACAGTGGACTGCAGTTGCTTTATTTCCACGCATTATGATATTTTACGTTTTACAAACGGCTTAAATCTGCTTTTTTCATAAGATTTATTTCTTTGGAGATGATTTGTGTGCGATTAAGTGGCTTCTTTTGTTTCAGGCTTTGTATCTGATCTGAAATTCAACAATGTACGGTAAATAACTCTCATTCTCAGTCTTTTTATCTTTTACTTAAACCCCCTTCCTCGTCCTTTTTGTCAAAGTTTCTTTGTCAAATTTAAAGGAGCAATAATTGACATCAAGTGTATACAAACTAAAAGAGAAAGTGATGAGCTCCACCCCTTTTGTTTGACCGTAGGAAACCAGTATCCCCCTTGGTGTTACCCCCAGCCCTGCCCTCCTCCACCCTGCCCTCCTCCACCCTGCCCTCCTCCACCCTGTATTCCTGTGTGCTACCCCCAACCACAGCCTGGTTGGGGGTATGGATGTCGCTAGCATCCTGGCCTGTAAGGGTAAGATCCAATTGATTTATTTTATTTTTGATAAATGCAAAGTGTAAATCACTGAGTCTCTACTGTACCAAAGGAAATACTTTACTACAGCCCACTGACTAGAAACAGTTGCATTTGAGCCACATTGAAAAAGACAATTTCACTTGTAATTAACCAAAATGTTTTTTTAATGTACAGCACTGATTTTACTGAATGAAATAACAATGTTTGTCTCTGCTGTTGTCCTCCAGCAGCTCCTGCAGCAGCGACTCGGACCAGATGAAGATGTCTGAGAGAAACAAGCTGCCACCTGCAAACCTTCATCCTGCTTCCTTCTATGATAATAATCAGTTTATGTGTGTTTTTAAATCAAATATTGGGCTAAATGCAAATTAAAAGTCAGGTTTAGCTGTCACAGACTATATTACCGTGTATGAAGTGTTGAGCCAACATATTTTAAAGTGAAAAGAACTAAACACTTGCATCAGCTCCACAGCTCCACTCTCTGACTCTCTCCTGACCAGCAGTGTTGATTGTATTGGAAGTTTACATTATGTGTGACATAGTGTATGCTTTTGATGTATTAGACACTAATCATAATTGTTCTCTTGTGTTTAACAACATAAACCTGTCTTCTGCTTATCATTAAATCTTCATCAATAAAGACAATAATATCTGCAATGCCTGACCTCTGTGTTCTCTGTTTCATTTGACCTCACTGGCAATAATTCTTTATTTATTCATTAATTAATCACAAGTATTATGAATCATTTCAGTCATTCATGAAGCAAAAATTATGTATTTATTTTCTCTGTCACTTTAAATCAAACATTTTGGGATAATTCCAGATGTCACCATGGACTTTATAAACTTGTGATAGACATTGTATCTTTCTTATGACATTTCATAGCTTTGACAACCAATCAGTTGCTCAAAAAATAAGTGACATATTAACTGATAATGCAAATAATCATTTAATTGTATTATAATATTTGAACATAGCATCTACATTTAGTCTTGGCAATTTAACACACTGCAAAAAACTGGAATGAAAAGGACACTACCAAAGCCTCTCCTCTAACTGCTTCAAAAATCAGAGTTCACTGTTGACTTTTGGCTGTAATGTACTGAGTATGGCGCCACTCTGCTTAATAATAATAATAATAATAATAATAATAATAATAATAATTAAACAGCAGTGATTGAGTCTGTTCTCACTTTATGAAAGCTTTTAAATTCACTGTTCTCAGCACTTGAAGTCTTTGCCATTAAAAGAAAATGATCATTCACATTTGGCAGCAGCAGTGTTTTCTTCACAAGGACAAACTGAAATCCTTCGAGTCGGCCTTAAAACAAAAAGAGAAATACTGTTCTCCTAGATTCAGATCTGATCTTTAACATTAAGGTGATGAAAACATAATTTGTGTTCCACCTTAGAAACAAAGATAAAGTATAATCATTTATAAATCAAAAAGATGGTGAAAATTTGATTCTTGCCTTTATTTAAAGTCAACTCGATTCCTGTAACATACTTTAAAACTGGCCCAACCAGAAACAAGAGGTGAGAGCACATGAGTCCAGTTTCAGCTGCTCTGCACTGTAACCTGTAATATTTAGAGTTGATTTTAAGGTATTTC